GCGGTTCAATCCCCCAGCACCACATGCCAGCCAGCCCCGCCCCCTTGTGGACTGAGCTGGCAACACACACACACAATAAATAAATGTTAAAATAAATAAATAATTAAAAAAAAAGAGTAAAGATGAAAGAAAAGCAAACAAAGAAAAAAAAAACATGTAAATTTCAAATAAATAACACAGGAACAATTGTGTCCAGGAGCACCAATTTGCATTTTCTCATGTTCATAAAATAATTTTTGTTTTTATCATTCTCATTGTTCTGTGTGTTTGTGTTTCTGAGTGCACACACACATGCATGTGTATGTGGAACTACACTCTCAGAGCCTTAGACAAAAACTGAACACAGGAGAGAAAACATAGAGCCTAATGGATAGTTCAAAAGCTAACAAGAGAGGCATGGTGTCCAGGAGAACCAAGCTGCACTTGTCTGCTCCAGATGCTTACCCAGAGAACCCAGCAGAGTCTGGCCTGAGCTGTAGGGAGGGGCAATGCATGGGAAGCAACCTACAGAGGCAGCAGCTCCCTGCAGGCCCCTGACGAACAGAAAAGGCCAGGCAGCATTGGGGCAGCAGAGTGCATGAGGGACACCTTGAGAATGGGTGGCTGGGCTCTGGAAGGCTGTACTAGAGAGCCCACAGTGCTTACATTTCCCATTTGCGGCTGGTGGCAGGAGCCCAGGCCTCTGAGTTGCTGTGATTTCCAAGCAGAGGAGGGTTCCTGGGTAGACCCTGGCTCCTGCACAGCCAATGTGGGCAATGTGGGGAGCACAGATGCACAGCACACTGATTTCACAGTGTACAATGTGCCTTTTTTTCTTTTTTAAGCAGCAGAGTCTAGTTAATTGCATAGAAAGCTTACATCTAAGAAAGATAGATGTCTCCAGGCAGTATGATGAGAAAAACTGGGAACTGATTTGTGACCAGAAACAAATATGGCTTTTTCTATTGTGGAAATACAGCCTAAAAGGAGAAATAAAAAGTGTCTCAGCAACTGTTCTCAGGCAGGATTCCTGGTAAAGCATCATCCCCATGGATACATGTAGAAGTCCAAAGTTTCTCGGGATCCAACTGTAATGAGGAAGAATTTGAGGTGCATTCAAGGAGATACTAAAGTGCTAAGAGAACTGGGAATGTTTGGAAAAAATTTAATATTGAGTGATTTCAAAAGCATCAAGAGGGCCCACGAGATAGCTTAGCAGTATAAGTGCTTGCCGGGCAAGTACAAGGTCCTCAATTCAATTCCTTGGAGAAAAAAAGTCAAAATGCATCAAAATTTTAAAGATTCATGATTTTTTTGTGTACAGTCTATAAGAGAACAAAAATAAATTCATATGAACTACAGAGAAAATAAAATTCTATAAAAGAGCTTTACTTCAGTTATCTCAGCTTAGGCAATCTACACACATGACAGTGACATGTTCCATACACACATACCACTTCCATGGACAGCACGTTTTGCTTTCTGAACTATTCTGTAGGACATACTTCATACCTCAGTGGTCTTGCTGTTTTATCTGGAGGTTCTAATTATACTGTGTGTAGTTAACGCAAACATAAAATATCAATAAAGCATTACATTTTTAATAGGTATTATAAAAATATATTTGTATTTTGTTATTTAGAATGGACATCAACTGTATTATATTAGCTGTTGCTTAAAAACCTAAAATCTTCAAAAATAAAAGCAGATGTGAATTATAATGTAAATACAATCAAAAGGCTACTGAAGAAATATACTTTGCTTCAATGCAACTAAGGCTGTCTTCATACATTACAACAGTATCTCCCATTAACAAGTATGACCGATATTGATAGCATGCACATCTTCTTTTCCTGTCTTTTGTTTTGTTTCATTTTGAGTACCAGGGATCAAATTCTCAACCTTACGATTATTAGGGGGGCCCTTATGCTGCTGAGATATCTCGCTTGCTCTACTGTCCTTGTATACACACAATATTCCCCCATGTGTGTTCCTTCAGGTACTTCACAATAAACTTGAATAGCAAAGCTCTCCAAAACAGTTTACATACAGCTCTACTTGAATTTTTAAAATGCTGTATACAGTAAACTTTTGTAGTAGAAAATTCCTTATTGCTTGCATACAGATTTTCAACCTAGCATAGATTCATGTTCCTGAGAATCACCATCTGTGAGGAAAGTTTTCTCACATTGCTTACATAATAGGGTTTCTGCCCTGTGTGAATGCTTTCATGTCTTTACAGACTTTGAGTACAGCCTTCCCACATTGCTTACATGCAGTGTTTCTCCCCAGCATGAATCCTTGCATGTGTTTTACAATACCATTGTGTAAAGTTTTCCCACATTGCTTACATACCTAAGGATTCTGCCCAGTATGCCTTCCTTCATGAATTTTATAATAATATTTTCTACTAAAAGCTTTCCCACATTGAGTACAAAAATAGGGCTTCTCCCCAGTGTGAATCCTTTCATGAGTTTTACAGAGACTTTGTCTCCTGAATGCTTTTCCACAGTGTTTACATACATAGGGTTTCTCACCTGTGTGAATTCTTTTATGTCTTTTACAACTTGTATGTGTAATAAAACCTTTTCCACACTGTGTACATACATAGGGTTTCTCCTCAGTGTGAATTCTTTCATGCGTTGTACACTCTGTATGTGTACGAAAAGCTTTTCCACACTGTTTACATACATAGGGTTTTTCCCCAGTGTGAATCCTTTCATGAGTTTTACAGAGACTTTGTCTACTGAATGCTTTTCCACAGTGCTTACATACATAGGGTTTCTCACCTGTGTGAATTCTTTCATGTCTTTTACAACTTGTATGTGTAGTAAAACCTTTTCCACACTGTGTACATACATAGGGTTTCTCCTCAGTGTGAATTCTTTCATGCATTGTACACTCTGTATGTGTAAGAAAAGCTTTTCCACACTGTTTACATACATAGGGTTTTTCCCCAGTATGAATCCTTTCATGTCTTTTACAATGATATTGCATTCCAAAAGCTTTCCCACACTGCTTGCATGCATATGGTTTCTCACCAGTGTGAATCCTTTCATGTGTTTTACATTGACTTTGTATTCTGAAAGCTTTTCCACACTGTTTACATACATAGGGTTTCTCTGCAGTGTGTATTCTTTCATGTGTTTTACATTGACGTAGTGTAATAAAAGCTTTCCCACACTGTGTACATACATGGGGCTTATCCTTAGTGTGAATTCTTTCATGCGCTGTACAATCTGTATGTGTAAAAAAAGCTTTACCACACTGTTTACATACATAGGGTTTTTCCCCAGTGTGAATTCTTTCATGTCTTTTACAATGATATTGCATTCTAAAAGCTTTCCCACACTGCTTGCATGCATATGGTTTCTCACCAGTGTGCATTGTTTCATGTGTTTTACATTGACTTTGTGTTCTGAAAGCTTTTCCACACCGTTTACATACATAGGGTTTCTCGGCAGTGTGAATTCTTTCATGTCTTTTACACTGATGTAGTGTAATAAAAGCTTTCCAACACTGTGTACATACATACAGTTTCTCCTTAGTGTGAATACTTTCATGCATTGTATACTCTGTATGTGTAAAAAAAGCTTTTTGACACTGTTTACATACATAGGGTTCCTCCCCAGTGTGAAACCTTTCATGTTTTTCACAATAATACTGCGTTCTAAAACCCTTCCCACATTGCTTGCATGCATATGGTTTCTCCTCTGTGTGAATTCTTTCATGTCTTTTACAGTTAGTTTGCCTACTAAAAGTTTTGCCACACAGTTTACATATATAGGGTTTCTCCTCAATGTGAAGTTTTTCACGTCTTTCCCAATCAGTTTGAGAACAAAAAGCCTTTGCATATTGCTTACATATATTTGATTTCTCTCCACTGTGATTCTGTTCATGTGTTTTACAACAAACTTGTGTAGTAAAAGTTTTCCCACAATGCTTACAAACACAGGGTTTCTTCCCAATGTGAATCCTTTCATGTCTTTTACAGTCATTCTGTGTACTAAAAGCTTTCCCACAGTACTTACCTACAGAGGGCTTCTCACCAGTGTGAATTCTTTCATGTCTTTTACAATTTGTATGTGCACTAAAAGCTTTTCCACACTGTTTACATACATAGGTTTTCTCCCTAGTGTGAAGCCTTTCATGTTTAGAAGACCCTTGTCTTCTAAAAGCTTTTCTACATTGGTTATATACATAGGCCTTCTTCCCAGTGTGACTCCTTTCATGGATCTGAACATCGTTGGCTGTACTAGAGGCTTTCAAGTATTCCTCATACACAAAGGTCATCTCTCTAAGCTGAGTTCTTACACTAAAATATGAGTGGAATTTTTCACATTGATGACATTCATAGGATTGCTCTCCAGTCTTTGTCCTTGCATTCTTCTGCGAGGACTGAAAACCACTGCAGGTCCCTCCATGTTCATTACATTGATAGAGCTCCTCTTCTGATCCCCAAAGCTCACATGTCTCCAGTCCAGCGTTAGTGATGGTAAGCAGACTTAGTGCATAGCATTTCTTCAACTTTTCATTTCTATTAAAAATCAAAACGAACAAGAATCACCAGTCATAATCAAATAGGTCTTCATATTAAGATTTACCACAAATCCTCATGATTCCTCCTAAGGAACTCTGACAATTAAATAAATGCCCTGGAGTATACCTTGGAAACAGGCATTAGCAAGAATGGTATTCATTTAGGTACTTTCATATTGGTATATTTGGCAATACAGTTGGCTGGTTTCATTCAGAGCAAGTGATATATATAT